TTTTAGATCAAGATCATGCAGAGCAGATTCAGAAGCTTCTAACTTTTTTGCAACATTACCATAAGACTCTTGATTCCATTTCTTTAAGACCAACTTTAGGGACTGCAATTTCCTCTTCAGAATGGATCCTGCAAATCCATACAGTTGAAGTTCACCTCAATTACTCTCTACCAAGGAAGCTAGTGACGGATGTAAGGTCCATGCATTCAGAAACTTGAAGGGTTTGGGCCCCCAGTCCCTACCATCCTCCATGAGAAGAAGTGGTCAGTGGTCAGAGATAGTTCTTGGAAGACTCCATAGTTTGAGTTTATATCTCACTAACCATTAAGGACTAAGAAGAAATCTATCTATTCTACTCCACTTTTTCCCTTCAAGAGTATTACACCAAGTGAATTTTCTGCCTAGCATTTGGACATCTACCACCTCACAATTATCAATGAAGTCATTAAACTCCTACATGCCTCTGTCCTTGCAAGAAACTCCTATTCTTACCCCCACATTCCTAATTTCATTGAAGTCTCGACCAAGGCACCATGGGTTTACAAAAATTGTTTTCAAATTTAACAAGGTCACCCATAAAGCCTTCCTCCTTATTACATCATTTGGGGCATAAATGTTGACCAAAACACAGTCAAAAGAATTGTGAGCCTTACCTGATAAGAGAATAAAGTTCCTGCTACTACAACAATCTGATAGAAGAAAGACATCAGGATCTCAGATGCAGATTAATCCACTAGACAAACCTGCAGCATCTACAAACATAAATTCCATCTTGTCTCTAGGCCAAAAACTTTTAATCCGCAAGTTTGCAACACTTGATTGCTTTGTCTCCTGAAGCAAAGCCATATCTACTGCCCGCTCATGCAAAATCTTCCTGATTTTCCTTTTCTTTTTAGGCCTTCCTAAACCTCTGACATTCCAGCTTAAAATCTTCATGTATAACAGTTATACTCCAGATTGCACCCATGAGGAAGCTGGTTATTCCACACCACCATTACCTCTAGCCATTCTCACTTTATCTTGCTCCTCTATGTATATGAACTTCTTGACAACCTCAGATTCCTAGCCGTTATAGTCAATCCCCAGAGTTTTCCCAACGTGGAGTGTTTCAAGAGCCTCTTGAAGAATTTCCTATGTAGAGGAGGTGTGAATTGATTCTGATGTGTGACTGGGTGAGGAGTGAACAGTTTGAGATCTGGCTTTAATTCCTCTTTTGAACCCATTGCTTGAACCTGCCCCTTTGTGACCTACCCTTCTTGCAAAACTAGAAAATCTACTTGCTAATAAAGATTGCTTGGACCCTTCTCTTCTAGCACCTTTCCATTTTCCTTTCTTTAAAAGGCTGTTGGTGGATCCTGAAGTGGATGGCTTGAAAGTGACGTTGGCCTTAGATTGTGGACTCAGTCCAGATGCTTCATACAACTGCTTCATAACTAAGTATTTGATCCAATATTAAAGGGCCTAAAGGGTAGCAGACTCAGATGGCTTGTGTCATTGGGCTGCAACCCATTTTGAACTTGGCCCAAAGCTAACTCTATACAAATGCCAGGCCTTTCTTTTGAAGCCTCACTAAGGCTTTTAATAAATCCTGAGGTAAGTATATGATCCTCAATTACGGGGCCTACAATGGGACTAAACTGAGGATCTTGATTGCACTCAACCCTCTTGTGCTTAGTTTCTGTAACTAGCTGCTCTTCTACACCTTTTTGGGCAAAATGATTATACCTTTGATGTAGGCTTTTCACTGATACTAATGATTCAGCCACACATGTGCCTTCATCGTTTGAATTCCCAACACAAGCTACAGTCTCTGCTACAACTGATGTGTTACTCCAGCTGCCTTCTACAGCCAGCTCATCCATAGCCTTCATCCTAGCTGTCATACCCTTATTGGTTCTAACAGACGCTCCTGCCATGTCACCGGCTATGTCACCATCTTCTTCTTCTGGTTTGTGTTCTTGATTGAGTTGGACTACACCATGGATTTTGGAGCAGACAGCTTCAACTGGGACCTTAGAGAGTGTGGCTTTACAACTGAAGTTATCATCCACAGCATAGTGCTCTTCAAATACTCGAATAGGATATACTCGCCCTTTACACTCCAGATTGATACTTGTATTAATCGGATCCATTACATCAGTAACTAATTTGAATCTGTCATTTGTAAATGATTTTGGTGCACCAATATTACCATCCAAGAGAACCACCTCACCCCATATACTTCGAATCCTTCTGAATGTATTTGAACCCCAGAGGTTTAGGGGTACCCCAAGACAGCTGATCCAAACTTGTCTCTGTTGTTGCAGGTACAGACCAAGACTCCAAACTATGATGTACTCGCACCAGTGATGGAACCATTCCACAACCATGGACTTTTTGCCTAATAGGTCTTCTTTGGAGAGGAATGAAAGAAAAACATCTCTCCCACCTCCCTCTCTTACCAACACATTGTGGTCTTCTCTTTTGATTAGTTCATTTTTCACCTGTACAGAGGTGTGTTCTAGTTTGAGTCTCATGATCAAACTCTCATAAAGCCAGTTGTTGCCTATCTTCTCTACTCTGATTGTTGTCTTCACAGCAGATGGAGCTTTTGGATGATCCCCTTTAATGACTTTTGCAAACGATCTCCCATCGGTGCCATGGTTCCAGATGGAGCTTTTGGCCATAACGGATGTGTTTCTTACCATTGGTTGTCTTGTTGTGAAATTTTTCCATCGCTGCCTTGCCTCTGTATGTTTATCAAACTCTACGATCTTGACTGATAGGGATTTATCATCTACCCACAACCCATTAGTTTTTTGTTCTGCAATGTTAGTTGCAATAGAACCATCATACTGAACAAAACCAAATCTGGAGTTTGTTGCTTTCCTTCTCTTATATGGTATGAAGACGTCTTTAACCACGCCAAATTTGGTGAATAGATCATACAGGTTCCTAGGTGCCATGGATTCAGGCAAGTTATCCACGAAAAGCGAAATCAAGTTCGCTCTGCTTCTTTCAGACCACGAAGTAGTATTTGATTGTCTTCCTCTTTGCTTCACCATTGGGATCCACCCACCAAGATCCCCTTGCTTCCTCATTCCCCTTCAGGTGAGACCCACTATATGTTGTGTTTGTTTTTTGAAACGTTCCTGTGTCATTCATCTATTCACTTAATTAGTCTATTTGTCCAAATCATCAGAACCACTGACGACGATTTTTACTGCAATTTTTCCCTGTGCCAACGAATTTTGGGCAGTGGTCCAATAACTGTCCAGCGATAGTCCAATAGTGATATAACAACGCAAGGGTGAAAATAGAAAGAAAACATATTCAAAACATTAATTTGTCGTTTTTAATAAAACCTTTTATTATCATGTTCTTACTAACAAAAGTGATCAATTTTTTTTTTTTTGATAAATCGACATTCGACCCATTATACCTACTAATTCGAGAGATCAATCCCACCATTCACAAGTGGTAGGACTCAATCAAAGTAAGGGCAAAGCCCCGTCTGGAGAAAGTTTCGAACTTGAGACCTCAGAAAGTACATACCTCCAATCCCTTGGGATTAATTCTTAGACCTAATGCATAGACATCCATAGAAGTGACTTTTCACTAATTTTCTCATAAAAGTATATTAGAATATTAGAATGCTTTACCAACTTCAATTTGTGATAATAAAAAATATAATTAACGAAAAATCATATTGACAAAAACGTATGATTCAATCGTGTGACTATCGATATCTTATCAATTTGAATTTTTGTATAAATAATCTATTTGTCTTGTTATACATGTTGAACCATTCAAATGATCTTAATAGAATCGAAGTGAGTCCAAACAAATAACACAACATCCAGGTGTAACAGGCTTATGTGATGACATTCCGAAACCTATTTTGATGATCCAAAACATTCATCATACCCATGTAAAAAAATAAAATTGATCAAATATTTCTTTTTTTTCTTTTTTCAGTGGGGAATAGTGAACTAAAATAGATTAAGAAAATAAGGTTCTGGGATATGAAACCCCTTTAGTATCATCATACAATTGTTTAAACAAAAAGGAACGGAATTAAAAGCGTGAAATCCATCTAGGGCATGTCTGCCTTGATTCGCCATGCCATCAATCTTCGTGATCCTTAGCTACCTCATGCGTACCAACAATCGCATATAAGATCACTAAAATGATGTCACACAGATTCTTCATGAGTGATCAAACTGATCATGGCTTTTGTATCCGATTCCACATGATTGTTGTAGTGCGTATGATTTTGCTGGATTTCGAGTGGCAACTTAATTAGAATGCGTTTGATTTGGTCATGATGCAATTTCCTTTAGCAGTTTATTTATGCAACACTGACATGTACCATTCTTATTACATTAGTAAATTTTTTTTTTTGCTGATAAAAAAATAATTAAAAATAAATGGGAAGACTTTGGGTTTGGCCCAGTGGTTTTGTAGCCACCATAGGGTGTGGTAAAGAAAATCTCAGCGGTTCAAACTGTAATAGAACACAAGCGAACTTTACTAACAAACTAATATTCTGCAAAAAAAAATAAAATAATAATAATAATAAAAAAATTCAATTCTATTATAAAGAGAAGTCTAGAGTTAGTATTTATGTCTCATTTTTTTTAGTTTTCTCAAAATATTCCAATAACGATTGTGCGCTATATTCAGATTTTTTATTTTTATTTTTTCCTTGCCAGTTACGTAGGCAATTATGGATTCAATTTTTTTATTTTTTTTTATCAAATCTCTCACTTATTAGTCTTTTTAGATTCATAAAAAATGTTTTAATTTTAAAATTTGAATTCAGCCATACATTTCACACATATTTAAAAAAACAGAAAAACAAAAAGTAAAACAAACCTAACCTAGAGTTAAAGCTATACCGTTGGGTTGGGAGAAATGAACATTACTTTGATCTGTGGACTGTAGGGGCCTTTCCCATGCGTTTCAAGACACACACACTCCGTCCTTCAAAACAAAACCAACCATTTCCCTTCTTACAAAACAAAACAAGAAGCATGGCCTTCTATCCTTCAAAGCTCATCCTTTCCCTCCTCTTTGTTATTGCTACAGCAGCATCCATAGCCCACGGCATCCCCATAGTGGACGTGTCAGTAGCAGGTCAGGTGGTTTGCACTGTCCCGGGAACTAACTGTACTACCTGCCCAGGGATTGCTGGGGTTAACGTGACTTTGTCGTGCAACGGAGGTCGAACAACCCTTGCACATGCCATCACAAACACTGGAGGGTCAGTGAATTTCACCCTATCATCTGCAGATGCTGGTGCTCTCTTTGGTCAATCGCAATGCTTTGTCTATGTGAAACTCCCCATCGCCACTTGCTATGTTTTCCCTCCCACCGGAGTCCTACGTTCTCCCGTTACCTTTGTGCGCCTTGTACACGGAGCCGCTGGTCCAATTGCCATCTTCATTTTCCGAATATTTCATCTTGTTGGTCGATTTTCATAACACTACTGCTATATATATCCATGCAAATGCTTCGCTTTGCTTTATGCTTTGCTTTGTGCATGGATGAATACTTCTACTTTTAGTTAAGTTAACTAGAAGCCATGTATACATACAACATGGTTCAAAAAATCAGACTGGTGTTTTAATTTTTGAAGGAAAACGTTTTCATGATGCAGGAGTTTCTACAATTCAACTAATGTGGCATCGTATGATTGGGAGATTACACAAATTAAGAAAACATATATTTCGAATTCTAATTATTTTAGGTGACTTGTTTATCTTTTTTGTAATTAAATTATTATCTAAAAATATAAAATTCAATGTTGGCAATTTTTCTATTTATTAATTTATTTAGTTTTTTGCATTATAAAATTGTTCCACAGTTATATTGCACAATTAGTATAATTTATTTATTTTTGATTATGTAAAGAAATAATTTAATTGATATAAAAAGTTAGTACAAGGTATGGGTAGCATCATTGCGATAGCCCGCTCATTTATAAAATGTTAATTATAATTTTGTATTCTTTTAATTATAAAATATAGTAAATAAAATATAAAAAATTTATATATATATACTTCTTTTTAGGGTCTAAATTAAAGCATTTGTTAAAATTATAATTCTTTTACCATTGAATTTGGTTAACATTCTAAATTCAAATAATAAGTAAAAAAAAATCTAAACAATTTAATATCCATTAAAGAAAAAATATTAAAAAATTTAATAACTCATACCTATTGGGTTAAATGGATGGGCTTGAGATTTGGACGGCCTTGAGATTTGAGTTTTTTTTCCTTATTTTTTATCTTTTGTAAATTTTTCATATTTTAATTAAAATTTTAAAATATTTAGATGCACATATAGAAAAACTAAAAGTTAAAATATTTGTTAAGAAATTTGAAAAAAAAAATATTAACAAAATGGCACATTTTCATTATTTTTTTTAAGTTAATTTTTTTTTAAAAAAAATATTTCTACGACACGCAATGTTGCCTAATGTATGTAGATTTTCAACTGGCACCAAATTTATAATACAATTGTGGAAAAATAGACATTTTAGTCATTAAACTCAATGTTGGTATATATAAAATATCTAAAATACTCAATTAGATTGAAAACACACTACAACAAAAATTCAAAATGCCACAAGACCAAAAAATGTCATTAGAAGAATAGTTTTGTGACACTTTCAAATGTCACTAAACTAAGAAAATGTTGTAGTGACAGGAAAATTATTAAGATTAAAAATAAATCAAAATATTAAGGTTTAAATTGATAAATTGATAAATTTTAAATTTATTTTATTATAAGAGTCAAATCCTAGGATTTATTATGTAATCTAAGTAAAATTATATTTCTTAATTGTAAAAATTATAATATCATATTAAATAAATGGTAGTCGAACCATAAATAAATTTTTAAATCTTTTGAGTCATTAAGTCCAAACTCCAATCTTTTTAGGTCAAAAGGGCATAATTTGTTTAAAAGGACAACTATTTGTTAAAATCAACCTGTCTATCTATATCTTGAAATTAACCTATCTGTTGAAATCAACATATCTCTGTATTTATTAATATTCACCAAGCTAACTATCTGTTAAAACATGACACATTTTACTCATTCAATAACATATCTGTTGAATATCACACATTTCTTTACACACCACAACCACCACCTACTACTGCTAGTCGCTAGCGATTTTTCTGGCCAATTTTTCAGCAACTTGTTTTTAGCACCGACAACTTTTTCCGGCATATTCTTATCACCAAATAAGATTTTGCCATTTATACCCACTTTGGATTGAGCTTTTGACCAATGTTCTCTCAAAAGCACCATAAATCAGAATGAAAAAATGATCATCAAGTTCTATTTTCTTTTGAAAATTATTATAATATATATATTTTTTTTGACCGGTAAAGAAAATCTTTATTGATGAAACATACAAGGTATGAAAGATTACATCAATAAAGAGAAGCTAGGGCCTAAAAAAGCACCAAGCGCCAGTTGGTGAGAAACCAACGAAATAGATAAAGAGGAAAGACAATAAAGAAGCAAAACAAACAGAAGCAAAACTCCCAGAGATTGAATCACATCAGCAACCAAAATGGAAGCAGAATTTTCAGTTGACAAGCTTTGCTTTCCAAAAGTAGCTGATCACAGAAGCAGAATTCTCACACAGCAGCAGACATAACCCATTTCTGATCAAAACAAAAAATCAGCCTATCATTTGTGATCGAAGCAACAAATCAGCATAGAAACAGAACACAGAAACCTCATCCAAGATAGACCATTAGCATCGGAGCAACATAACCCATTTCTGATCAATTCAGAGCCACAGCCAACCTATACAATTCAGACCATTTGCATTCTAGAAGATCACAGAAACAGAACAACTAAACCCGGCTTCCCATTCTGATGAAAATAATTAACCAGCCTACCCATTTCTGAAGTAGAAGTAGAATCCTCAATCAGAAGCAGAAACCTCAATCATAAACATAGCAGAAGCAGAATCCTTGATCACAGGAGCAGAATCCTCAATGATAGACGGCAGAAACATGCAAGCAAGACACTCAATCATAACAACCAACCATCAACCACACTCCTGATGCAATTCAGAGCACTAGCAGGTAAGAGATAATCAATGGCAGCCCCTTATTTGACTCCAATTCAGAACAATATCATTAATAGAGTAGGGGAAGTCCCTAAGGGAGGCTTTGAGCCAAAAAGCTAATCTAACTTTGATGAGGTCCCACAAATCAGCTGAGTTAGGAGGGACACCAGAGAAAGTACACTCGTTTCTGTGTTTCCAAAGGGACCAGAGGACAACAAGGGGAGTGGCTCTCCAAACTTTCCTGAGAAAAGACTTAAAATTCACCCCCATCTACCAAGAGAACAGATCTGATACAGATAGAGGAATGCACCATTGAAGACCCCAATCCTGAAGCACAGAGGACCAAATGGTCCATGAGAAGAAGCAATGAAGCAAAATATGCTGGGCAGATTCTGGAGCAGAATTGCAGAAGATGCAAGAGGTGGAAATGTTGTGGCCTAGGATGCCAAGGTTGTGAAAGAATTCAAAAATAGTTGTATGTCAAATTTCAATATTAACAAATAAGTTCTATTTTCTTTTTTATTTTATAAATTATTATAATTCTTAATAGTATATGTTATTTTAAATTTATTGTTCTCATTAAAATATGAATAAAAAATTTATAAACAATTTTAATTTATTTAAAATTTTATATTAAAAATGTTTTTAATTGCTGAAATTAAATGAACAATTTGTAAACAAATGCATAAGTATAAGATTCGTCAACTATCGTGTATGCATTGAGAAATATATAAATTTCATAGCTTTTTGTAATTTTAATAGAATTTAACCCCTTTAGATTGCTTACTCTAAAAAAAATTCATAATTTGAAATAATAGAGAATAATGTACTTTATACTATAGTTGTTTCGGTATAATTATTACTTATGAGTTTTTTTAAATATAGTATTAATAATTTTTGTAATTAAAAATTTAGAACTCAATTAAGGCCTCGTTTGGGAACATGCTACTTTTTTTTTTTATCTGCAAAAATAAACTTTATTGAATTAGAACCAAGGAGAAATCCTTACATCTATGGGAACATGTTATTTTAGTGACGTTTTGACTTTTTGGCTAAAATATGAGGTAAAAAAAACTTGTATGTTTGCAATGACTTTTTAGCTTTTTAGGAAAAGATATGCAAAAAGTAGAGAGAAAAAAAAATCTTTGACTTTTTGGTATAAATTATATGCCTTTTGGTTTTGGCTTTTAAACTAAAATTATTACTTCCCAAACGAGGCTTAAGTTTAAATCTACTACTATTACAAAAGTGTAAAGAGTCTGCAATGTTTTTTACTTTTTTTAAATTTCAATTTTACCTTTTCAAATCTACTATATTTTCTAAAAGTTATGAAGAGTCCTATATAAAGTTATGAAGAGTACTATATAAACTAACTATCTCTTTATTTTTGGAGTTGAATGCTCAAAAATGATATATCTGCTTCTAAGAATCTTATATAAATATAAACAAACTATCTCATTTCTTACAAAATAAAAAGGGAGGGGGAAGGGATTTAGTCAAATCCCTCTCATAATAAAAATTTAATGCATTAAGGACAAGCATAAAAAATTTTCTTGAAAAGTCTAACACGTACCATTATTATCAAAATATTAAACTTTAAAATAATATAACTTTTGATGTAGACATTGGTTTTTAAAAAAATTAGCATTTTTAGAATTCTATCATCAAGATCTATCAAATAAAATCCATGTTGATTATGAAATTCTTAAAAAAAAATTTAAAATTATTACCGTCGAAATTGATGTAAATAGTAACAGTAATATGTTACTCTGTTTGACAGTAATATGTTACTCTATCTCATAATAACATGTTACTCTATTTGACAGTAACGTGTTACTCTATTTGACAGTAAAATTTTATTGATGAAAAAGCATACAAAGTATGATAAATTACATCAATTAAAAGGAGGGTACAAAAAGCATCACAGTGAAATATCAAGATCCCAACCAGGTTGGCTCCAAGAAGAACACCAAATCATCTGCAAGCACACACTCCAATCTCCAAGTTGGTGAGAAACCAAACATATAGAGCAAAACAAAACCAGCAAACACAAAACTACAATCACTCACATCCACAACAAACAATCACCCAAAATTAACCGGGTGTATTATTCGCCTCGTTCTTCTTTGTTTAATTTTGGGTTTTCCTTATTAGAGCATCGGGTTTAACTTAGAGCCTTATTAATCGTTTGGGTTTGTTTTGTTCGGAAGTTTTTCTCAAAAATTCTTGTTCATATTAATTCCGGTGTTGATTTTCACTCGTTTCGGAGGGTGTGAGGTCGAGCCCAGAGTGTCGGGAGTTGAGCTGAGAATTGTTGTGGGCTAAGGGCCAAGCCGCACATGCGGGGGCCTTGGCTGCACGTGTAGAAGAGAGGCCGCACATACGGGGAGTGAGACTGCACGTGTGGAAAGCAAGGGAGTCTTGGGTTGCCTACTACATAAAAGGCACATGAACAAGAAGGTGCGGAAGGAAGTGTGGAGGAAGTGATGCATGTGAGGGGGTGA